AATTCACCTGTCTGTTATATGGAGAGAGTCGTGAGTCTTCAGTGGACGTAGTCCGTGCCAAGTTGCTGCGCAAAATGGTGGGGCAGGACGATAAACTCACTGCCAAGTCTAAGGTTGACCTGGCTCGCCTTCCTCCATGCTATGATGCTCTGATGCTCTGAATATTATTTATTGCCAGGAATACACAAATGAATGTAATGGAGTTTTGTCGATTAGGCCCCGTTGTGCAGGAGTATCATTCGGGAGGGGAGATGAAACCCCCCGGGGTCTAGACCCTGGTGGTGGTGAATGGATAGTTGGGTTCGGTCTGAAGGGGAGTGGCTTAGTTTGACCCTGGTGGTGGTGAATGGATGGTTGGGGTCGGTCTGAAGGGGAGTGGCTTAGCTTGACCCTAGTGGTGGTGAATGGATGGTTGGGGTCGGTCTGAAGGGGAGTGGCTTAGCTTGACCCTAGTGGTGGTGAATGGATGGTTGGGGTCGGTCTGAAGGGGAGTGGCTTAGCTTGACCCTAGTGGTGGTGAATGGATGGTTGGGGTCGGTCTGAAGGGGAGTGGCTTAGCTTGACCCTGGTGGTGGTGAATGGATAGTTGGGTCGGTCTGAAGGGGAGTGGCTTAGCTGGACCCTGGTGGTGGTGAATGAATAGCTGGGGTCGGTCTGAAGGGGAGGGGCTTAGCTTGACCCTGGTGGTGGTGAATGAATAGCTGGGGTCGGTCTGAAGGGGAGGGGCTTAGCTTGACCCTGGTGGTGGTGAATGGATGGTTGGGGTCGGTCTGAAGGGGAGTGGCTTAGCTGGACCCTGGTGGTGGTGAATGGATGGTTGGGGTCGGTCTGAAGGGGAGTGGCTTAGCTGGACCCTGGTGGTGGTGAATGAATAGCTGGGGTCGGTCTGAAGGGGAGGGGCTTAGCTTGACCCTGGTGGTGGTGAATGAATAGCTGGGGTCGGTCTGAAGGGGAGGGGCTTAGCTTGACCCTGGTGGTGGTGAATGGATAGTTGGGTCTGTCTGAAGGGGAGGGGCTTAGCTTGACCCTGGATTCAGAGGGACAGGAGGTGAAAAGGGGGGAGGAGGGTTGCGTCGAGTCACCTGAAATGACAGCTGTCGGAGAGGGGAGAGCAGATTTTAAAGGGTTAGCGGAGCGCTATGATAGGCTTGTGAGAATAGAGCGAAGTGATTGGTTAAGCTGGGGAGTGACGCGAGAGGAGAGAGAGAGAGTACATGGACATAGTAAATGAATGAGGAAAGACGGTCTTCCTTGGTTGAACTTGCGCTGAGCTTCATTAGTTTCAATTGGAGATGGATAATAACTAATGAGAAGCTGAGGGTCAAACACTAACTAAATACTGGATTCATGGTACCTCGTTTACTTTGCTAGCACTTTCTCTTTGAAAACACAATGCTGGATTGTTAAGTTTAACGGACCGTGACATGACATTTGTCCTGTAAGAGATGATAGATAAGTTAGAGGAACATGTTTGGTGCAGTTCTTGTTTTTGAAACCAGCTCTCATCATTCCTAAAAATGATTTCTAGAGAAGAAAGGGAACCCAGATGGAGAACTTCACTTTATACTGTAGTTGATGGCACATTTTGAAATTAAAACATGAGCTAAATGTCCTGAAATCTACTTTCAAATGTCCCGAATTCAAGTGTGTATTTTCATTCTGCATAATAAATATAGTAATGGCTTCCAGACCTTGTGTTCACTCATTTCCTGCACCTACTTCTGAATTAAACATTTAAATTATCCTAGGTGTTAGGTAACAATCAGTTATCATTGTTTTAATAATTGGTACTTACCCTTTCTTGCGTATCTCTCCTGTTAATTACATCCCTTTAAACCTGGTTGATTCATGCTGGCCTCAAAGATGAAGCCGTGTCTAAATGCACACAGAACAACTTCAAAATGCTCATTAAATCAGAGTTCGTCACTTAGCTTTTTCAGTTGTCCTTGCTTTGCCACCGCCCCGGTAAAGTTTAGCCACCTCAACGCTTTGATGGCCTTGAGGCTGCCGAGCGTCTCTCTCTGATTGATTTAGTGTGTGTAAGAGTGTGTGTGTGTGTGAGAGTGTGTGTGTGAGAGTGTGTGTAAGAGTTTGTGTGCGACGTAGCATAGCGCTCAATCTAAGCAGCACTTGTTTCTGAATTTGAACACTGAAGTATTAAAGTGATTAATATTCAGTGATGCAATAATCATTTTCAATTTTCTCCCCTTGTGGGATTCTGTTGGAGGGTCTTAGTATTATTTCATTTGTAATGAGAAGTGTATTTACTATCCAACACACTGTATCTTTGTGTCCTAAGTGCTATTTCTTTGTCCCCTAGGGGGCATAATAACTCACCTGTTCACCATGGCCTTTGACCCCTAACCCATCACAGTCGCCCTGCTTCCACTCCCACTGCTATTTATTACATTTTTACTTTATTATTTGCCCTTCTTGTTGGTTTGTTTGTTTGTTTTTCACCCCATGTAAAGCGGCATTGGGTCCCTTGAAAGGCGAGATACAAATGTAATGTAATATGTTAGAGAAGTCTCACTGGTCCCCGGATTGAACTTCAATCTCAGGATCCATGTATTTACTATCCTCTCAAGAATGGAAGTAGTCATCATATACAGAGCATTTGGTACAACTAGTTCCTGAACAGTGTCCTTCACATGCTACTACCACAATTACTTATACTACTACTACCACAATTACTTATACTACTACTACTACAATTACTTATACTACTACTACTACTACTGCTACTACTACTGCTACTACTACCACAATTACTTATACTACTACTACCACAACTACTACTATTACTACAACTTCTACTACAACTACTACTACTACCACAACTACTACTATTACTACTACTACTACTACTACTACTACTACTACCACTACTACTACTACTACTACTACTACTACCACAACTACTTATACTACTACTACTACCACAACTACTACTACTATTACTACTACTACTACTACTACTACTACTACTACTACTACCACTACTACTACTACTACCACAACTACTTATACTACTACTACTACTACTACCACAACTACTACTATTACTACAACTTCTACTACAACTTCTACTACTACTACTACTACTACCACTACTACTACTACTACTACTACTACTACTACTACTACTACCACTACTACTACTACTACTACCACAACTACTACTATTACTACAACTACTACTACAACTACTATTACTACAACTTCTACTACAACTTCTACTACTACTACTACTACCACTACTACTACTACTACTACCACAACTACTACTATTACTACAACTACTACTACAACTACTATTACTACAACTTCTACTACAACTTCTACTACTACTACTACTACCACTACTACTACTACTACTACTACTACTACTACCACTACTACTACTACCACAACTACTACTATTACTACAACTACTACTACAACTACTATTACTACAACTTCTACTACAACTTCTACTACTACTACTACCACTACTACTACTACTACTACCACAACTACTACTATTACTACTACTACTACCACAACTACTACTATTACTACTACTACTACCACAACTACTACTACTACTACTACTACCACAACTACTACCACAACAACTACTACTACTACAACTTCTACTACAACTACTACCACAACTACTACTACTACTACAACTTCTACTACTACTACTACCACAACTACTACTACCACAACAACTTCTACTACTACTAATACAACCACTACTACAACTTCTACTACTAATAATAATACATTTATTTTGGGGGGCGCCTTTCATAACACCCAAGGACACCTTACAGGGCATAGGCGCAATATAGGGAACAATTAAAACAGTGGATTTAGTGAAGTATCAGCCGGGGTAAGACAAGACAAACAACAGGAAATGGACTATAGAAGGACACAAAAGGACACAGGGTACAGTTTATAAAGAAAATGCCAGTTTGAACCGGTGGGTTTTGAGTTGGGTTTTGAATGTTGTTATGGAATCAGACTGTCGGATGTGTCGTGGCAGGGAGTTCCAGAGTCTGGGAGCCCGAGCAGCTGAAAGCTTGAGCACCCATGGTTTTGAGGCGAGAGCTTGGGACGGTGAGAAGTCCTACGGACGAAGAGCGGAGGGTGCGGGAGGGGGTGTACTCCTGAAGGAGGTCGGTGATGTAGATGGGGGGCAAGGTTATGGAGAGCTTTATATGTGAGTAGAAGGCTTTTGTAGTCAATACGGTAGCGTACAGGAAGCCAGTGTAGCTGAGTGAGAATGGGGGTGATGTGGTCGGATGAGTTGGTGCAGGTGATGATCCGGGCAGCAGAGTTCTGGATTATTTGCAGTCGATTGAGGAGTTTGATGGGAAGGCCAGTCAGAAGTACATCGCAGTAATCAATCCGGGATGTGACGAATGAGTGGACCAGGATTTCAGTACTACTACTACTACTACTACTACTCCTACTTATACTACTACTTGTACTACTACTAACACCACTACTACTACTAATACAACTTCCACTACTGTTTAGAAAAATCTCACTGGTTCCCGGCTTGAGCTTGAACCTCAGGATCCATGTATCTGTGATCCTCTCCAGAATGGAAGGAGTCATCACATACAGAGCATCAACTAGTTCCTGAACAGTGTCCTTCACATGCTGATATCCAAGAGAGGGAGTTACACAGTCACAAGATGGAGGAATAGAAAGCAGTATTCAATGTTTACTTCAGATTAGCTCCACGTCAGAAATGAGCATGCTTGATGTCTATCTCCATAGAGGCTGAATCCTCATGTTAATCACATAGCTATCATATGCCTCAGTCCTGATGCTCTTCTAGGTAATCACACATCCTGTCATGTTCACAGCTACAGTTGGGATACCTTTGTTATCATGTGACTCTGATATTGGAAGAGGACATTCAGTATTTTCCCAAGATATTATTATTATCCTTATATCTGTAGCAGTTTGGTGCCTGTCTTCTAACGGCTCTGTGTCTCTTACAGCTGGACGTAGTTCTGGAGACGAACCTGGCCACCATCAGGGTTCTGGAGAGCGTGCAGAAGAAGCTGACCCGCCTCTCCCCGGAGGATCAGGACCGCTTCCGGTTAGACGACTGCCTGGGTGGCACCTCGGAGGTCATCCAGCGCCGCGCCGTGTACCGGATCTACGGAGACAAAGCGCCCGAGATCATCGAGGGTCTGAAGAGGAATCCTGCCACCGCCGTGCCTGTGGTGCTCAAGAGGTCAGGAACCATGTCTTCATTTCAATGTATTCAGTAGATGTGTTATGAATGTAAATAATATCCTACTTTTATATTGTGTAAACTGTAATTTTGCTCTGGATTATTTGACGGATAGTGTCCAGACTTTCACTGTCAACATGTATATATTTTACTTTTTAGTCCTGTTTTAGTCTTGAGGAACATTTTGAATGCAGGACTTTTACTGTAACAGAGTATTCCTACACTCTGGTACTTCTACTTTTACTCAAGTACAAGATCTGAGTACTTCTGCTTTTACTCAAGTACAAGACCTGAGTACTTCTACTTTTACTCAAGCACAAGATCTGAGTACTTCTACTTTTACTCAAGTACAAGACCTGAGTACTTCTACTTTTATTCAAGTACAAGATCTGAGTACTTCTACTTTTACTCAAGTACACGATCTGAGTACTTCTACTTTTACTCAAGTACAAGATCTGAGTACTTCTACTTTTACTCAAGTACAAGATCTGGGTACTTCTACTTTTACTCAAGTACAAGACCTGAGTACTTCTACTATTACTCAAGTACAAGATCTGAGTACTTCTACTTTTACTCAAGTACAAGATCTGAGTACTTCTACTTTTACTCAAGTACAAGACCTGAGTACTTCTACTATTACTCAAGTACAAGACCTGAGTACTTCTACTATTACTCAAGTACAAGATCTGAGTACTTCTCCTTTTACTCAAGTACTAGATCTTAGTACTTCTCCCACCATATTTCAGTAACATATGAATGCAGTATTCAGTGTAGTATTTGCATTAAAGTGTGTGTTTGTGTGCAGGTTGAAAGCAAAGGAGGAGGAGTGGCGGGAGGCTCAGCAGGGCTTCAATAAGATCTGGAGGGAGCAGTACGAGAAGGCGTACCTGAAGTCTCTGGACCACCAGGGGGTGAACTTCAAGCAGAACGACATGAAGGCTCTGCGCTCCAAGAGCCTGCTCAACGAGATCGAGAGCGTCTACGATGAGGTGAGAAAACGTCATTCCACTCTGTCATCCCATAAATATCTCAAGTAGCGTTTATTTTATCTGCTATTTTTTATTTATTTAGACCTAGTGTCCAAATGTTCTTAGCCGCTTTCACACCAAGTACTTTGCCATACTTAGTGCCGGCACTTAGTACCCCCATGGAACTAAGTACAGATCGCGTTCACACCGGAATAAGTCCCTGAGGGAGGATTAGGCAAATGAAGCCGCTGACGTCACTTCTTCTTCTTCTGCTTTGGGTTTACTGGCAGGCCGCAAACAACTTCACGGCGTATACTGCCACCCGGAGTCCTCGGCCGGAAGTCCCCGGAGTTGGGGACTGGCTTCAGTAGAAGCTGCTGGGACTCCCAGCAGCTTCTACTGAAGCCTTCCAAGTAAATCGCCAGAACGCCGACACCTCCTCATCTCCACCACTCCCATGTTTTCTTTTTTGTTGCCATAAGTTATTCTCTCTCCGCGGGGCTAATGCTAATAATGCTAATAATGCTAATGCCAGCAAATACAATGGCGGCTTCACAAAACTTTTCAGAGTTTTACGGGGCGTGGTTTGCAATTCGCCCAGCTAATAGAAATTGGTACTTTTTTCTCCCCAGGATAGTACCACCTCTCTAGCAGGCACTAAAAATGGGGGTAAAAGTTCCCGGCACTAAGTACTCTTTTTGGTGTGAACGCAAAATAAGGGGTACTAACGGAACTAAACGGGAAAAGTACTCCGGTGTGAACGCGCCTTTTTAACCATATTTAACTTCATAATGTTTTTTTCATTCAAGTTTTAGTCTGAGTGTTTTTAGGCAGAACATTTGAGAGGTCTATAACAAGCAAGCAAGTAAAGTGTATATATATACAAAATATTTTTTGTACAGCACAACAAAATAGCTGTATATATAGCTGCAACAAAATTGCATTTTTCCCTTGAACTTTACTCTAGCAAAGTAATTTCCCTGAGACACTTTAAAACAGATTTTTTGTCTCAGTGCGTGTTTCTGAGAAAGCTTCACTCACCTGTGTCTCTCAGCGTCAGGAGCAGAGCACAGTGGAAAATGTATCCTATTTTCCCTTAAAACTTTATTCTATCATCTCGGAGATCAGTGAAGCACATTTAAAAAGATTATTTGTCCCAGTGCGTGTTTCTAAAGTATCCTTCCTGTCGCTCAGCGTCAGGAGCAGAGCCATAGTCCTGTGTACATTTCTTGTTAGTTTAAACCACCGGGGAACTCACGCAGCGTCAGGAAATAAAACCCTCTCTCTTTTCCTCCGTACCCAAATCTCTAAAAACGGGGAACAACGGAGCTGATCCAGATTTGCGTCCGATATGAAGTAATATCTGAAATGTGGACCCACGGCCCAATCAGAAACGTTGCTATCAGAAACAATGCCCGACTGTTTTGGACGTAATATGGTCGGTGTTTACATTAGCATCGCTAACACTCAGAGCTAACCTGTACTGGAGAGCATGTGTGTGAAGAAGCAGGAAGTAAAAAGGAACTCACCTTGTGGTATAACCGGCAAGAGAGAAAGCCTTTGAGCTCCAGACTGTTTCAGAGAGAATCCTTGATCATCCATGATATGGCGTTTCATCACGGCAGCATTTAGTTTAGACAGTAGCTGCCGGGTCCCGCATGAGCTCAGACCCCTCCTCTTTAAAGCTTTATACCCAAATCAGCACTTTAGAAACAGGAAGTGAAATAGAGGGATATGAGGCGTGGCTAGAATGATCTGTTTGGTATTTTGAGCAAAACATTTCATAGACATGTTTTTTATATATTTGTATATATCTGAGACCTATGCTGTTGCCTACAAATAGCATGATAGGTGACCTTTAAACTTAATTTCTCTGAGACACTTTAAAACAGATGTTCTGTCTCAGTATGTGTTTCTGAGACGGCTTGACTCACCTCGTTGTGTTTCTGTCTCTCAGCGTCAGGAGCAGAGCACAGAGGAGGGTGGAGTCGGCCTGCAGAACCGAAACGGCTCCGGCACCTCCGTCACCAGCGAGCCCCACATGGTGTTCACCTACAACGACAAACAGATCCTAGAAGATGCCGCGGCGCTCATCATCTACCACGTGAAACGCCAGCCCACCATCCACAAAGACGACAAGGACCACATCAAGCGCATCATCCAGCACTTTGTCCCCGATCTGTTCTTCTCCCGCCGGGGCGAACTCAGCGACACCGAGGACTGGACGGACGACGAAGTGGAGCCAGAAGAGGGTGGAGAACGAGTAGAGAGAGGAGGAGAAAGAGGAGGAGAAAGAGCACCAGAAAGAGCACCAGAAAGAGCACCAGAAAGAGCACCAGGAGGAGATGGAAATAATAATAATAATGCATCCTCAGCAACAGGAAATCAGCCTCAACCCCAACAACCACAGCATCTGAATGGAGAATCCAGGCGGAGGCGATGCAGCCCTTCTCAACTCGCAGAAACTGAAGCCTCCACCACCTCCATCACTTCCTCTACCATCACCTCCACCATGACCTCTAGCCAGCCTTTAGGCCCCGCCTCCTCCTCCACCCCGGGGTCAACACCCATGGGTGGAGTTGGAGGTGGAGGAGTGCCGGGAGAGAAGGTGGACCTGCGGGACCCCGAGGCGGAGCACCAGAAGGAGATGGACGGCGTCTACAACCTCTACTTCGTCAACAACAACTGGTACTTCTTCCTGCGGCTGCACCAGACGCTGTGCTCGCGGCTGCTGAAGGTCTATAGGCAGGCGGAGCGGCAGCTGCTGGAGCATCGGGCGGAGCAGAGCCGCGAGAGGCTGCTATTGGCCGAGGGGAGGCGGGAGAAAGCATGTGACCTCGCCATGGAGCTGCGCCTCAAACAGCCCAGTGAGTACAGCTGATTGTTGATCATACCCTTCCCTTTATCCTCCTTAATCTGTCCTTTTTTGATATGCATCTTAAAAAAATACAAGTCTGAGTGTCAGAGTTCCCGTTAGAATATTTTTTCGCCGGTCAAAATGTCCGTTAAAGTTGAAATCTTCCGGACAAAATTTGAAAAGTGCCGGTTGTGGGGGAAACTTCTGTGTAGCTATGCAGTGGGAGTCACCGACTCATGAAGGAGACACGGGAAGAGCAGGAGCTTTGATGTCAAACACTGATGGTTTATTTAGGAGCTTCGGCCGGAGAATTCACATCACAAGTCCAAGAGCCAGAGGTTCTGACTTCACGGTAGAGTTGCCACGTAAAATCTGAAGAACTCTACCCCAGACCCGTGTGTTTAGTTCAGAGAGAATCATCAACATGCTGCATAACAAGATAGAATGATAACACCTCTGTCAGCTGACGCCAGCAGGCAGGAGCAGGGAGACAGAACACTGAGAGCAGCAGCCCAGGTTACAGGTGCGTGTGCTCAGTCAGGACAGAACTGATCAACTGGGTCAAAGTTATGGGCCTCGGAAAATATTTACCCAACACCGGTCAAAAGTGTTCTTTGTTATTTACTGAGCTTTAAAACAAATTGATATGAGTCGATATTAAACAAACTAATTATAGTACATTACTACATACTACATTATTCAAAAGTGTAACTTACAATAACACGGGAATAATAAACGGAGTGCTCTCCCCCTCTCCTGACAGCCCGTCAGTATCATGCAGCTCGCGGATCAGTAATGAGTGACCAGCAGGAGAGGACTCTTTAAAGTAGAGACACTACATACTGATATACACCTGAACACCAGCAGGAGAGGACTCTTTAAAGTAGAGACGCTACATACTGATATACACCTGAACATCAGCAGGAGAGGACTCTTTAAAGTAGAGACACTACATACTGATATACACCTGAACATCAGCAGGAGAGGACTCTTTAAAGTAGAGACGCTACATACTGATATACACCTGAACATCAGCAGGAGAGGACTCTTTAAAGTAGAGACACTACATACTGATATACACCTGAACATCAGCAGGAGGGGACTCTTTAAAGTAGAGACACTACATACTGATATACACCTGAACATCAGCAGGAGAGGACTCTTTAAAGTAGAGACGCTACATACTGATATACACCTGAACATCAGCAGGAGAGGACTCTTTAAAGTAGAGACACTACATACTGATATACACCTGAACATCAGCAGGAGGGGACTCTTTAAAGTAGAGACACTACATACTGATATACACCTGAACATCAGCAGGAGAGGACTCTTTAAAGTAGAGACGCTACATACTGATATACACCTGAACATCAGCAGGAGAGGACTCTTTAAAGTAGAGACACTACATACTGATATACACCTGAACATCAGCAGGAGAGGACTCTTTAAAGTAGAGACACTACATACTGATATACACCTGAACATCAGCAGGAGAGGACTCTTTAAAGTAGAGACACTACATACTGATATACACCTGAACATCAGCAGGAGGGGACTCTTTAAAGTAGAGACACTACATACTGATATACACCTGAACATCAGCAGGAGAGGACTCTTTAAAGTAGAGACACTACATACTGATATACACCTGAATATCAGCAGGAGAGGACTCTTTAAAGTAGAGACACTACATACTGATATACACCTGAACATCAGCAGGAGAGGACTCTTTAAAGTAGAGACACTACATACTGATATACACCTGAACATCAGCAGGAGAGGACTCTTTAAAGTAGAGACACTACATACTGATATACACCTGAACATCAGCAGGAGAGGACTCTTTAAAGTAGAGACACTACATACTGATATACACCTGAACACCAGCAGGAGAGGACTCTTTAAAGTAGAGACTCTACATACTGATATACACCTGAACATCAGCAGGAGAGGACTCTTTAAAGTAGAGACACTACATACTGATATACACCTGAACATCAGCAGGAGAGGACTCTTTAAAGTAGAGACACTACATACTGATATACACCTGAACATCAGCAGGAGAGGACTCTTTAAAGTAGAGACACTACATACTGATATACACCTGAACATCAGCAGGAGAGGACTCTTTAAAGTAGAGACACTACATACTGATATACACCTGAACATCAGCAGGAGGGGACTCTTTAAAGTAGAGACACTACATACTGATATACACCTGAACATCAGCAGGAGAGGACTCTTTAAAGTAGAGACACTACATACTGATATACACCTGAACATCAGCAGGAGAGGACTCTTTAAAGTAGAGACACTACATACTGATATACACCTGAACATCAGCAGGAGAGGACTCTTTAAAGTAGAGACTCTACATACTGATATACACCTGAACATCAGCAGGAGAGGACTCTTTAAAGTAGAGACACTACATACTGATATACACCTGAACATCAGCAGGAGAGGACTCTTTAAAGTAGAGACACTACATACTGATATACACCTGAACATCAGCAGGAGAGGACTCTTTAAAGTAGAAACACTACATACTGATATACACCTGAACATCAGCAGGAGAGGACTCTTTAAAGTAGAGACACTACATACTGATATACACCTGAACATCAGCAGGAGAGGACTCTTTAAAGTAGAGACACTACATACTGATATACACCTGAACATCAGCAGGAGAGGACTCTTTAAAGTAGAGACACTACATACTGATATACACCTGAACATCAGCAGGAGAGGACTCTTTAAAGTAGAGACTCTACATACTGATATACACCTGAACATCAGCAGGAGAGGACTCTTTAAAGTAGAGACACTACATACTGATATACACCTGAACATCAGCAGGAGAGGACTCTTTAAAGTAGAAACACTACATACTGATATACACCTGAACATCAGCAGGAGGGGACTCTTTAAAGTAGAAACACTACATACTGATATACACCTGAACATCAGCAGGAGGGGACTCTTTAAAGTAGAGACACTACATACTGATATACACCTGAACATCAGCAGGAGAGGACTCTTTAAAGTAGAGACACTACATACTGATATACACCTGAACATCAGCAGGAGAGGACTCTTTAAAGTAGAGACACTACATACTGATATACACCTGAACATCAGCAGGAGAGGACTCTTTAAAGTAGAAACACTACATACTGATATACACCTGAACATCAGCAGGAGAGGACTCTTTAAAGTAGAGACACTACATACTGATATACACCTGAACATCAGCAGGAGAGGACTCTTTAAAGTAGAGACACTACATACTGATATACACCTGAACATCAGCAGGAGAGGACTCTTTAAAGTAGAGACACTACATACTGATATACACCTGAACATCAGCAGGAGAGGACTCTTTAAAGTAGAGACACTACATACTGATATACACCTGAACATCAGCAGGAGGGGACTCTTTAAAGTAGAGACACTACATACTGATATACACCTGAACATCAGCAGGAGAGGACTCTTTAAAGTAGAGACACTACATACTGATATACACCTGAACATCAGCAGGAGAGGACTCTTTAAAGTAGAGACACTACATACTGATATACACCTGAACATCAGCAGGAGAGGACTCTTTAAAGTAGAGACTCTACATACTGATATACACCTGAACATCAGCAGGAGAGGACTCTTTAAAGTAGAGAAACTACATACTGATATACACCTGAACATCAGCAGGAGAGGACTCTTTAAAGTAGAAACACTACATACTGATATACACCTGAACATCAGCAGGAGAGGACTCTTTAAAGTAGAAACACTACATACTGATATACACCTGAACACCAGCAGGAGAGGACTCTTTAAAGTAGAGACACTACATACTGATATACACCTGAACATCAGCAGGAGAGGACTCTTTAAAGTAGAGACACTACATACTGATATACACCTGAACATCAGCAGGAGAGGACTCTTTAAAGTAGAGACACTACATACTGATATACACCTGAACATCAGCAGGAGAGGACTCTTTAAAGTAGAAACACTACATACTGATATACACCTGAACATCAGCAGGAGAGGACTCTTTAAAGTAGAGACACTACATACTGATATACACCTGAACATCAGCAGGAGAGGACTCTTTAAAGTAGAGACACTACATACTGATATACACCTGAACATCACCAGGAGAGGACTCTTTAAAGTAGAAACACTACATACTGATATACACCTGAACACCAGCAGGAGAGGACTCTTTAAAGTAGAGACACTACATACTGATATACACCTGAACACCAGCAGGAGAGGACTCTTTAAAGTAGAGACACTACATACTGATATACACCTGAACATCAGCAGGAGAGGACTCTTTAAAGTAGAGACACTACATACTGATATACACCTGAACATCAGCAGGAGAGGACTCTTTAAAGTAGAGACACTACATACTGATATACACCTGAACATCAGCAGGAGAGGACTCTTTAAAGTAGAGACACTACATACTGATATACACCTGAACATCAGCAGGAGAGGACTCTTTAAAGTAGAGACACTACATACTGATATACACCTGATCATCAGCAGGAGAGGACTCTTTAAAGTAGAGACACTACATACTGATATACACCTGAACATCAGCAGGAGAGGACTCTTTAAAGTAGAAACACTACATACTGATATACACCTGAACATCAGCAGGAGAGGACTCTTTAAAGTAGAAACACTACATACTGATATACACCTGAACACCAGCAGGAGAGGACTCTTTAAAGTAGAGACTCTACATACTGATATACACCTGAACATCAGCAGAATAGGGCCCTGTAATAGAAATGAAAGACTGTCTTCACAGTATCAGATGGTCTCATTGTAACGTCCCTCTCCTCTCCAGGTGAGGTGGAGCTGGAGGAATATTACCCCGCCTTCCTGGACATGGTGCGCAGCCTGCTGGATGGAAACCTGGACTCCACTCAGTATGAGGACACGCTGAGGGAGATGTTCACCATCCACGCCTACATCGGATTCACCATCGACAAGGTCATCCACAACATCATCCGCCAGGTGAGTTAACTGAGCACAGATACTGACAACATTCACTGATACCAACGAAGGCTGCAAGGTACCAACTGGTGCAGGATGGAGTCCTTAACTGGTGTTAGCATTATAGCCATTCCAATGGTTTTCTGAATTTTTTTTTGGTCCTGAAATAAGGTCTGTGGTTAACACAAGCTGAAGAAATTTAAAAATAGTTTTCATGACATAAATGTGTCATTAAATACTCCACTGGTGAATTCAAAAACCGCGGTTGCTAACAAGTGTCTAAATGAGACGACTAAACATCATCACGCCCAACATTAGCCGCCTTTAGCTTAGCGGTGGTGACGTGAAGTCATGCGACTGTGCTGTAGTTCCTTTATAGCCCAACATTAGCCACATTAAGCTTAACGGTGGTGACGTGAAGTCATGTGACCGTGCTGTAGTTCCTTTATAGCCCAGCATTAGCCACCTTTAGCTTAGCGGTGGTGAAGTCATGTGACCGTGCTGTAGTTCCTTTATAGCCCAACATTAGCCACCTTTAGCTTAGCGGTGGTGACGTGTTGTCATGTGACCGTGCTGTAGTTCCTTTATAGCCCAACATTAGCCTCCTTTAGCTTAGCGGTGGGGACGTGAAGTCATGTGACCGTGCTGTAGTTCCTTTATAGCCCAACATTAGCCTCCTTTAGCTTAGCGGTGGGGACGTGAAGTCATGTGACCGTGCTGTAGTTCCTTTATAGCCCAACATTAGCCTCCTTTAGCTTAGCGGTGGGGACGTGAAGTCATGTGACCGTGCTGTAGTTCCTTTATAGCCCAACATTAGCCTCCTTTAGCTTAGCGGTGGTGACGTGTTGTCATATGACCGTGCTGTAGTTCCTTTATAGCCCAACATTAGCCTCCTTTAGCTTAGCGGTGGTGACGTGAAGTCATGTGGGCTCTGTTCTTGGTCCCCTCCTCTTCTCCCTGTACACAAACTCGCTCGGATCAGTCATTAGCCCGCATGGTTTTTCTTACCACTGCTACGCTGATGACACCCAATTAATTCTGTCCTTTCCCCGCTCAGAGACCCAGGTCGTCGCACGCATCTCTGCTTGTCTAGCTGACATCTCTCAGTGGATGTCTGCTCATCACCTCAAACTCAACCTTGACAAGACTGAGCTGCTCTTCCTTCCGGGAAAAGATTGTCCCACTCTTGACCTAACAATCAACATCAGCACCTCAGTTGTTTCCCCGACTCAGACTGCAAGGAATCTGGGTGTGACCCTAGATAACAACCTGTCCTTCACTGCAAACATCGCTGCTACAACCCGTTGCTGCAGATACACGCTTTACAACATCAGGAAGATACGTCCCCAGCTGACTCAGAAAGCGACTCAGTTTCTGGTCCAGGCTCTCGTCATCTCACGCCTAGACTACTGCAACTCCCTCCTGGCTGGTCTACCTGCATGTGCCATCCGACCTCTGCAGCTCATCCAGAATGCAGCGGCTCGTCTGGTCTTCAACCTTCCTAAATGTTCCCACACCACTCCGCTCCTCCGCTCCCTTCACTGGCTTCCGGTAACTGCTAGAATCCACTTCAAGACACTGGTACTTGCGTACCATGCTGCGAATGGATCTGGCCCTTCCTACATCCAGGACATGGTTAAAACCGTACACCCCAGAACGTGCACTACGCTCTGCATCAGCCAAACGACTCGTTGCGCCCTCGCTGCGAAGGGGACCCAAGTTCCCATCAGCAAAAACACGTGGGTTTTGCTGTCCTGGCTCCAAGATGGTGGAATGAGCTCCCCATTGACATCAGGACGGCAGATAGCTTACACATCTTCCGGCGCAAACTGAAAACTCATCTCTTTCGACTCCACTTCGAGCGATAGAATTATTAACAAAGCACTTATATACTAATAAAGGACTGGCTTATCTAAAGCCAGTTGAGTAGCACTTGAAATGTTTTTGCTCTATGAAACCTGATGTACTTATATGATTCTGTTTTCTTCAAGTTTGTATTTTGTTGGTCGAACGCACTTATTGTAAGTCGCTTTGGATAAAAGCGTCAGCTAAATGCAATGTAATGTAATGTTGATTTTAAAGAATTCAAAGCTATAAATAAACAGCAACAGGCTCTTTAACCAAGGCAGCCTAACATGTAAACTAGTTGTTCACACTAATCCTAATATTATCACTTAATATTAGCATTTTGTTGAACGAACGCACTTATTGTAAGTCGCTTTGGATAAAAGCATCAGCTAAATGCAATGCAATGTAATGTAATGTGATGTGACCGTGCTGTCGTTCCTTTATAGCCCAACATTAGCCTCCTTTAGCTTAGCGGTGGTGACGTGAAGTCATGTGACCGTGCTGTAGTTCCTTTATAGCCCAACATTAGCCACCTTTAGCTTAGCGGTGGTGACGTCATGTGACCGTGCTGTAGTTCTTTTATAGCCCAACATTAGCCGCCTTTAGCTTAGCGGTGGTGACGTGAAGTCATGTGACCGTGCTGTAGTTCTTTTATAGCCCAACATTAGCCTCCTTTAGCTTAGCGGTGGTGACGTGAAGTCATGTGACCGTGCTGTAGTTCTTTTATAGCCCAACATTAGCCTCCTTTAGCTTAGCGGTGGTGACGTCATGTGACCGTGCTGTAGTTCAGAAATCATTAAGTGGTGTTAATATGTGAATAATTTCCTGACATAATCGAAAATCACATGGAGAAAATCCCATTGGACCACGGAGATGCTGCCTTCAGGGTCCAACCGAGAAATGCCTGCAACACTCTAAAGCAGTTCTATCAAATGTTGATGATTCATTCATCCCTAACCCCAGTGTCTCTCCGTCCTCAGCTGCAGCACCTGGTGAGCGACGAGGTGTGTCTACAGGTGGTGGATGTTTACCTGGCGGAGAGGAAAAGGGGGGCAGCGGGGGGGAACCTGTCCTCGCAGTGGCGTTCGCTCAGCCTGGAGACCAGCTACCAGTGGAAGGCTGAGAGAGTCATGGCGGAGGAGAACTGCTTCAAGGTGAGTCACGCTGCTGCTGGAGGAAGTCCCGTTCGCTTTGAGGCGTTTCTGGCGTTTCGAGGGGAAATGTACATTTGTTACAGAAAAGAGCCAAAGAGTGTTACCTCACTGCATGAGTGTAATCTAGCATATTTATCATCCACAAACAATTTGACCAAAGCTTTTTATTTTTAGATTTCAGAAGCTTATTCTCCTGGTTTTGTTCTGCTGTTGTAAGTTGATTTTTCTTTTGTGATTTAAATCTTTATTGTCACATTATACATGGCAATAACATGCTGGTGACAACAACATTTTAATATTGTAACAAAAGGCAATACAAAATAAAAGGTTAGGGATATGTCGTCATGTTATTATATTCTTGAAGATACATGTATCTATTAGCTATTGTTCCAGTCTCATGTCTTTCTGTTCAGTTGTTTTTTCTTGCAATCTCAATTTATAAGTCAGTTTTTCCAACAAAAGTATTTCTTCCATATTGTTGTTGTTGTAAGTTAATTTAAATCTGTTTCTCTGTTCAGGTGATGTTTCTCCAGAACACGGGTCAGGTGACGATGACGGTCGAGCTGCTGGACACCGAGGAGGCTCAGGCCGACGACCCGTTAGACGTACAGGTAAACACACACACTGACACACACACACTGACACTGACACACACACTGACACACGCACTGAAACACACACACACACTGACACACACACTGACACACACACACTGACACACACACACACACACACTGACACACACACACTGACATACACACACTGACACACACACACACACACACACACACTGACACACGCACTGAAACACACACACACACTGACACACACACTGACATACACACTGACACACACACACACTGACACACACACACTGACACACACACTGAAACACACACACACACACACACTGACACACACACTGACACACACACTGACACACACACACACTGACACACACACCGACACACACACTGACACACACACACACTGACACACACACTGACACACACACACTGACACACACTGAAACACACACACACACTGACACACACTGAAACACACACACACACACTGACACACACTGAAACACACACACACTGACACACACTGAAACACACACACACTAAAACACACACACACTAAAACACACACACACATACATACACACACACACTGAACATACACACACACACACAAACACACACACACACACTGAAACACACCCTGACACACACACACACACACTGACACACAGACACACACACACACACACACACACTGAAACACACACTGACACACACATACTCTCATCCACACACTGAAACACACTGAAACACACACTGAAACACACACTGACACACACACTGACACACACACTGACACACACACTGAAACACACACACACACACACTGAAACACGCACACACAGAAACACACACTGAAACACACACTGAAACACACACTGAAACACACACTGAAACACACACTGAAACACACACACACTCTCACCCACACACACTCTGAAACACACACACTCTCACACACACAAACACACACACACACACTGACACACACACTGACACACACACACACTCTCACACACAGACACACACTGACACACACACACACACTGACACACACACTCACACTGACACACACACACACACTGACACACACACACACACTGACACACACATACGCACACACACACACACCACACACTGACACACACACACACTGACACACACACTGAAACACACACTGAAACACACACTGACACACACACTGACACACACACTGACACACACCAAACACACACACACACACACACTGACACACACACACTCTCACACACACACTGACACACACACACACTGACACACACACACACTGACACACACACACACACACACACACTGACACACACACACACTGAAACACACACTGACACACACACACACACTGAAACACACACTGACACACACACACACACTGAAACACACACTGAAACACACACACACTGAAACACACACTTTCTAAATAAAGGGTCACATGTATTAATGTGAGTGTGTGTGTCCTCAGTGCCTGTCGAGCTACATGGAGCAGTTTGTAGGAACGGAGTCCAGTCTGTGCTCTCATGAGGGATACTTCTTCAAACCTGTGTTCCTGCCCAGGTACAACACTCGTCTCATGTTAACATGTGCATGATCAAATACTACAGCTCATGTCTTTAGGCGATAATACGCCACTGAGTTTCCTGTTATCTGCACAGAGGTTATTGAACGTTCAATGTCTGATGGTGGTGTTATCCAGTAGTAGTAGTTTAATTTATCCCAACATCAAGTTTTTAACAATCCAAAATATCTATAAAACCCAATTGTATGAAATAATAAGAGACAGTAAATAGATCCCTCACATTCATTACATAACAGTACACGTTGAAAGCAAATAATAAACTAATACAACTACTACTGTTAACTGTGGGAGGCTGTGGCTCAGTGGATGGTGCGCTGATCTTCGAATCAGAGGGTAGCAAGTTGGAGTCCCACTGCAGTCAGCATGTCGTTGTGTCCCTGAAGACTCTTCACCCCAAAGTGCTCCTGTGGGGATTGTCCACAGTATTGAGTATGTTAGTCGCTTTGGATACAAGCGTCTAACAAGTGACATGTCATGTACTGTTAACATTACCTGAGTTAGCAGAGATATGCTCCCCCTTGTGGTCACTGAGTGTATGTTCAAATGGAGGTATTGCAAATGTTAGATATTAAAAACACTGCATTTGATGATGAGTTAAACCAAAATCAGCCCTCATTAAGAACATGGAGTTAAATTAAAAACCTATTTTTGACAAAGGGCTGATGTGTGTGTGATTCACTGAAATACCACAGATCTTATAATTTAAATGTGTCGGTGTTAATCTAAAACACATGGAATTTGCACATTGTAAGAAGCATGTTAAAAAAATCTATTTCTTATACACTTGCATTGATTTGATTAAGGGACAGTTGAGCCATCATGAATCCTACGTTCAGTGTTCTCAACAAATATAAAAATGAATATTCAAAAAAGTATTCTACAGTAAATAAACAGGTGTTTTCATGGGCTGCGTTCCAATAGTCCGTTTAGCTTAGGAACCTTCCTCACGGAGTGAAATGACCCGGAAGTCCCTCACTGGCAGCCATGATAAGGGCCGTTCCAATTCTCCAAATGAAAAGAAAGGAGGTTTCAAACTTCCTTTATAACCTCCTTTAGCTTAGGAACCACTGGACCTCCCTCACCGAAAGGAGAGGAGAAAATGCTGCCCCACAATGCATTGCAGCCGCAGCATTTGCCGTCACTCAACAGTCGGCCGTTCACGGAAACAACCGATTATGACGGAGAAATGATATCATGAAAGTTACGGTTGCTTATTAAGCTTTTTAAAACGTATGTGGTAAGTTGCCAAAGTGCTTTGTTTTGAACGTTCATCAGTATTATAATCAAAAAGAGAAATATGAACGTTAGTTTTTACTGAAATGATCAAATAAAGTCAACCTCTCACAGTCTTTACTGAGCTGTGTGGGGTTTGTTCAACTTTTAAAAGATGTTTGAATGGTGATATACACAGTGATAGATGTTAAGGACTAACGTTTATAATAAATACATCTGTATTGATTTATCTTTCCATCAATCATACGTATTGGGATCATTTGTATTAACGTGGACCGGAGGGAGAGGGGGACGAGCAGAAGCTTCACTTTCCTTTTTTATTTCAATTCCAGCTTTGGTCCTGAAGAATGTGTTTCTCTGTTGTCCACGTTCATAAAGCATAAAGCAACAGCGTCAGAGCACAGAGTCTCTAGATGAGTTCACAGGAGTCCCTCGTTCTTATTGAACATCCATGTTGTAGTCCGCTGTATAGAGAACTGTAGTTTCCATAGTTTCCCCACAGCAGCAGACGCTCATTCAGGACGTCCGCTGGCGCATCAGAAACACGTCGGATTCTCTAAAGTACCGCAGTCTCTTCTCCTAAGTCCTTTTGAATTCTCCTATCCACTATCCCTTAACCCCGTGACGTTTCACTCAGAGGTCAAGGAATAGGAGATAGGAGGTGATTTTTGGACTATTCGACTGCTGCCCTGGTGTTTTTAATTGACCGGACTTCTTTCTGCGGATTGATACGACTGCATATAGTCCCTTTTATCCTCCTTAGCAACAGTCTGCTATCATTTGCAAATAATAACAGACCTCTGGAATCTCCGAACTGACCAATCAGAATTGAGTAATCAAGCCAGCTTTTATTTTTTGTAATTAAAATCTGTATTGTCACATCATACGTGGCAATAACATGCTGGTTACAACAGCATACAATCATGTAACAAAAGGCCAGACAAGGCATGCAAAATAAAAATTAAATAAAAGAGTTATATCTTCATGTAGTAGATGTACTCTTGAAGATATATGTATCTATTAGCTATTGTTCCAGTCTAATGTCTTTGTTTTCAGTCTTGTATAGAGTCCATTTTTCCCACTTCCTGTTGAGTTGTGTTTCTTGCAATCTCAAATCAACCCAGCTTTTAACACATTTAATTTCTCTCTTCTCAGGAATCTGCGGCGTTTCCGGCGCTGGCAGGTGCGTCAGGTGGAGGCGATGCGCTGCCGGAGGGAATGGCACCGGCAGCTCGGAGTGGAGAACGCCGGCAGCCTGGACTGCCGCTTCAAACTCAACACTCACAGATGGTGTTCGTCATGAACTCCGAGGACTACATGTACCGCAGGGGGGCGCTGGTCAAGGCCCGCAAGGTATGAGGACTTTAGTTTAATAACTACGAATGTGTACTTCATCTGCTTTTTAATCCCGTTTGTCCTGGTGGTCATCATTTGGTTATTTTTCAAAATCTTTTTATTTGTTTTTTTTGCAGACATGGCACTTTCAGCACATTATACAAAGTACAGGACACTTTGTCTGTTAACCTCTTAAGCCCCACGGACCCGGTTCCGGGGCCGAAATCGCGTCATTTGCAGGAAACAACATCTAAGGAACCTTAATATTTAATAAACTATTAATATTTTACATCCATATAACGGGAAAAAACTCATTTAACTGATCTTTTTCATTTTTTTCTCTAAAAAAAAACACACAATGTTAACAGTGAGCCTCTGAATTAGCCCCGAGCGAAAAATGCTAACCTATTACTGCACCGAAAATCACTCCTAGCTCCCTTATCACTTATCCTAGCTGCACATCCAACACATGATCGTAAAGACACAGAATCTAACGGTGCCCACCTCAACACTGAAAGATACAAACTCGCGACGTTATCAACAAAACGTACATCAAAACAAGTGGCGCTAGGTAGCCCACAACGCTAACATGGCTTACCTTGGTCTTTGTCTGGTCAAAACTGGTCTTCAATGGCATTAAAACGATAACAACGATGCTATAGTTAATCCATAGGTTAATCCAATGTGGGCTGTGTCCCCTTTGAAATGTTCTGATAATCTATCAGCAATAAAACTGCAATTCCGTTTTAAAAATATCAGAGCAGGCCATTCCTACGCTCTGTAGCTTCATTGAATGCGAAAAGACGTAACCTTTTTTTTTAACATGAGTGTGTGCGGGACGATTCCCCTTCAATTCTATTGGCTCTAACGGTCAGGAAGAGATGTCACATGTCAAAATCCAGCAGGGCGGCCAGAGATATGGAAAATCCCACCCAAATGGCCCCAGAAGAGGTTTGTTTGCTAAATCTGTCTAAAAAGGTCAAATATCACTTGTTTTGCATCAATCTTGATACAGGGTAATTATTATCTGTTGTACTTTGGATTCCTAACGCTTTTAGTCTACTAACCCATCATCCAAGGTTAGTTTTCACTATAAGTACAAAATATCTTTGGACGGACACTATAATTTACAGTTTTTTCTATGTTCAATCTGAATTTTCTTTAAAATAAAAAACATCTATATTGATTCTGACTTTTCTACATCCAACTCACAGGTTTATCATTACTTTGAGAAAAAAGATTATTAATTTAACCCTTTTAGAAGGGAAGATATGGTCATTTTGTTCTGGGAATGTCATTTTCGAGCCTGAAACAGGAAATAAAAATACCCATCCCCTATCCCCACCCCATTAGGTCACTGGTCACAGAAAAAATTATAATAATACAAATAAATAAAATGATAACTCATCACAAAGTCACAGGTAACAGGAATACCAAAATTCACATTGAGTCGAATAATAAGGGATCCTTTTAGCCAGAATCTTAGCTTCTCAAATCATTTGTTTTTAATGACAATTATTTGAGAGCGTACCCAACGTTAACATATCACTTTTTATTTGGGCAAAGGAAATCTTATTTGATTGACAAAAAAAAAGTGCATTTTCTGCTATTTTTATTTTAATAGTTGCTAATTATTTTCCTACAATTCGACTGATCACACAGCTGTTTGAACACTTCCTACCTGTTGGATCCTCTTCAACACTTTCTCCTTTTTCTCTTATTTTTGATTTTTCGGGGACGTTTTGTTTTGACTGGTTGTTTTTTTGGGAAGATTTTGACTGAAGAAAATGTTCCTTTAAAAAAAAAATGTAATACATTTTTGCAGTTAACTATCATCAAAGTTGCCAATTATTATCCTGTGATTTAACTTATCCTTACAGCTCTATTTGCACACTTTCTACCTCTTATCCCCTTCTCCCTTTCCTCTTATTTGGGATTTTTTTGGGAGGTTTCTTTTCAGATTTTGGCAAAAAAAAAGTGGAAAATAAAATTAGATTTAAAAAAAAATACCTCCAATCAATACCATAAGTCTTGTTCTATTGATCTCCACTGCAGCTCTTCAAAGGTTCAAAGGGCTTTGTTGTCATATCCAATGCAATGAAAAACATCCCAGGCTCCTCCAGGAATGAAACCTAAATATATATATATAAGACATAACACAAATAAAAAACAATAAAAATAGCGCAAGACTAACGAGCAGGAGAAGTTAAATACACGCCAGTAAAATAGAAAATAAAATACTGCTTATTGTAATAATAGATACATTTGTGAGATGCCGACAGATGACACTTTCTCCTCTTCCTCCACAGTCGCAGCACAGAGTGGCAGCCAATCAGCACGACCGCTTCGACAAGTGGCACCAGGGCTGGCTGGCCAATCACGTGACGGCGCCGGCGGATCGGGTCGTGCAGAACTGGCTTCTGGGAGAGAGAAGAGACGGACGACATGATCCCCTGCAAGACCACCTGCCTGCAGACCAAGCTGAAGGGCCAGCTGTGAACAGATACCAGGTTCATTACAGCGGTAGCAAAGCCCCCGCCTCCCCGTAGACTCACACACACTCACTAACACACTTACACACACACACACACGTAAATGCATGGACGTACAGGACATTCACACACTAAACAGACAGTTCTCTCTAAGAAAATAACGGGACAAACACAGACAGTGAAGTAATCACGGAGAGTGGACTCGGCCCTGTTTACGGCACGAGTCGGCACAAAATGGCGACCTTCATAATCCTCCTCATCGTCCGGCTTCTCTGGCGGCACTCAAAGTTGACGGACACACAGACGAGAAGTTATGAAATCATGAAATCATTGAAATTTGTTTCAGAAAATGTGAATGTCTGTTTCTTTTTTCTCCTTTTGTTTTGTTTATTTTTTTAAAGGTCGTGTAGTTTTTAGCTTCTAAAGCCGGAGAGCCTTCTGTGTGTGGGTTGGTTGGTTAATGCGTGTTTATATGGAGAGATAATGGTAAACGTGTGTATGTGTGTGCTGCTCTCTTCCTCTGTCTGTTTGTATGCCCAGTACAGGCTCTACAACTCTAGTAATTGCATTATTACTGTACTGTATGTGCATATATATATATATAACAGGGATCCTGTATTTTTATATATGCATCTACACATCTTAAGATCACGTGGTTCTTTACAGTGTTTGCTGTCAGCCAACTCTTGATGTTTTGCATTCTTTTTGTTTTCCTTTTTTGTGTTGTAGCTAAACAAGTTATCACCAAGGCAACAAGGAGTCCTTAAAATGATTGGTTTAATATGGACGACGCAGTCAAATTATGTATCATGTTCATGATACTCAATGTTTACTTTGTATTGTCTTTTTTTTGCATACTGACATTGAAATAAAAGCAAAATATCAGTGTTTAAAATAGAATGTATAACATTTATCCTGTATCAGTTATCATGAAATAAACAACCTGGTTGTGACCTTCTTAGACGTCGACTGGCAGGACCTTTGTTTGTTGGCGTGAGAAGATTTAATGTACAAATGCAAAACTTTTCACTTTTCAGGGGGTCCGCGGGGTCTTAGAAAGTATTACAAGTTGATAAATCAATTTAGCGAAAATGAAGGCTATTAAAAAGTATTAAACGGCATTTTCCAAGGTTTCACATTTTGTATCTTGTTTTTCAATAAGTATATAAATGGTCCAAAGAGGTTGTGTTTCTACAGTCTGCCTGAAATGTAATCATGGCGTAGGTGTTGTAGTGTGATTCTGTGTAGTTTATTGATGGCATCCCGTTGGGTTTGACGTCATCTGAACAGGACATCGCACGCTCACTGCTTGATAGCCGCGAAGGTCCGTTTACGCCGGTTGTTAAACAACATCGTTATGGGGAAATGCAAGTCTGCGTCCAAATGGTTGGAAGATAAGGAGGAAGGACAATCATACTGTATATAGTCAATGTGAGGTAAAGTGTGTCGCCAAGGTAACCGGTTAGAACTCCAAGTGGAGATGAGGTCTTAAAATGTGTGGAAAGGGTCCAAAAATACCGTAAATTCCAAAAATACTAAGGGGGACCTATCATGGAAAATGCACTTTTGTATGTCTTTTATACATGAATATGTGACCCCGGCAGTGTTATAGTCAAGATCACCAATTCACGTAGTCCAAGTCACTCTCGAGTCACCACTCTTCAAGTCCGAGTCACCAAGGGGAGAGTCGTAGTCGAGTCCAAAAGTCTGAGTCACCCAAGGAGTGTCCGAGTCGAGTCCGAGTCATCATTACCTGTGTTCGAGTCCAAGTCCCGAGTCACCAAGGATTGTCCGAGTCATCATTACCTGTGTTCGAGTCCAAGTCCGAGTCACCCAAGAAGAGTCCAAGTCCGAGTCACAGGTCTTCATGTATTAATCTTTGTGGATATATTGTGTTGAAATGTAGCTGCTCCTCTACATTGCTTTTATCCTGTCACGCTATACTAATCTGTCGATTGAAACTACTGTGACGTGACGCTACAATTTCTTGTAATAGGTACTATACAAATATAAAGCTTATTACTAATATTATTATTATTTATATATAAATAAACTATATTTTAAAAATGAGTTACCTTTTAGAGAAGTGATTATATTTGTATGCCAATATTTTCCTATGGTAAAGTTTTCGTTTTGCATTTTTATTTTGATAGTAATAAGATCGGGACTCTTATTTGAAGGAACTTTTACCGGTCAAATCGGTTTACTAATAAAGATTTAGCCCCAGAAAGCACATGGCTACTTAGCATGCAAAATGACGTCATTCTGCATGTTTAAGTAGCCATGTGCTTTCGTGTTATCGGCTGGAATCTTATATTTATTGATTAGATCACGTTAACTCTGATCCTTAGAGTAATGTGTTACGGAGCCTTCTCTTCAATATGGTTTCCCACATAACGAGCATTTTGCGCTGCTCTTTTCCAATGTGGAAGCAGAAATGTGTGAAAGCAATACAGCA